CGCCACAATTTTCAAACAAAATTAAAAACCTTATTGGCATCATTCTGAATAATGTTTTCTTAGATCAGGTCAGTTTACTTTATTGACATTCCAATGAAATAAAATATAATATAAATATGGCTCTTTTTTATTATGTATGCAAATAATTTTAGGTGTAACATATTAACAATATAAACAACGCCTCTTACTTTTAAAGTATTATACTTTTGGTTTTTTATTTATGTATTTATTACATTTATGTTCCTATACACAAATTTGATATAAGATAATATAATTAATTCATTTTTGTGTATTATTTTTAGAAAAACTCAAATACGGTACATATTGCATCCTGTTGGTTACTAAGACAGCTGGACGCTGGACAGATTTGTTGAAAACTTGACTGTCCTGAGAAATACGGTTCAGGTGCCAACACTGAACTACACATACAGTTTTTTGGCTATTACAAAAAACATTGATAACATACATTTGATACTAGGAGCGTCCGACCAGAATATGGTCTGATGAAATGCAGGAGTCACCACTAGAGGACAGCCCAGGCGCGTAGCCAGGGGGGGTGTTATAGGTGTAATAACACCCCCCCCCCTCAACCGTGGTGTACTATGTTTTATAATTTAAACCGGGACACGGGCACACGGAATTAGATAATTATTATTTTAGACCATTCTGTGTCAGTTTATCGTTGACTCGTTTCATGTACGATACAAGATATTTTTTAATGCAGAGTATTTACAACTTCATCATTAGAGTGTTACTCTATGGTATCAACTATCATTGGGGATTACAATTTCAATACCTCGACTAGCTATAAACCGAACAAATCATTTTAGCATTTCAACATAATCACCGGAAGTCTATTTTAGGATTTTTATTTTTGTACCTTTTTTGGATCATTTCTGTGAGCAATAAATGACAGATTTTTGAACCATAAATCACTATTAAAACAATTTACTTGTTTAATAAATGCAAATGAAAAAAATGAGACCGAATTTAAAGAACTTCTTAAGACATATTCTTCAGATATTGAAGCTGATGAAATATCTGCAATTGGTGAGTTTGCAATATAGTATGAACATATAAAAAATAAAAATCCTAAAAATGCTACTGAAGCCTTCTTTGACAGCAACGAAGACATATTTCCTACTGTTTATCGACTTTTACAAGTATTGATTACTTTACCTGTAACAACTGCAAGCAGTGAAACGTCTTTTTCCTCATTAAGACGCTTGAAAACATATCTAAGAAATACAACTGGTGAAAATCGCTTGAATGGCTTAGCTGTTATAAATATTCATCGAGATTTAGTCATAACCACAGACGAAATAATAGATACACTAGCCTCAAAAAGTCGACACATTAAGTTAATTTAAAAATGTATTCATTTTTTTTTTTATTGATAATAATATTATATAAGAGAACTATTATTCTAAACTATTATCTGTTCACACTGGTAAGTTGTAATACGTTTGTATAATAAATAATTTTCAAGCGAGATATGAGCATTTTTAATTTTTAATATTTCCATACACTTATTTTTCTCAAAAGTGAAAGTATCGAAAAATCGCCCAAGCTAAGACCCAGATAATGTTCTTACCTAAAAGTTTTATAATATGTCGATTCACTCTAGTATCAAAACTAACAGCTCACTATTGAAAATAGTGAACGACAATTTGTTATGTCGTGCGTGTGTAAGACAGAGACAACACACGCGTCTTAGCGTCCTCTTAAGTTTGAATAACACCCCCCCCCCCTTTGAAATTTCTAGCTACGCGCCTGGGACAGCCCATAATTGTTCCTGCGTGAAAAATAATATTACATTTATTTATAACTCATGTCTTTCAAGACCATTTGTTGTTGTTTAGTAGATGTGACTTACACTTAACGGAATATATCCATCTTTAAAAAGATAGTTATACTTCTGGTTCAAATTGGTTAGAGTTAAAAAGTCCTTAATTGAATAAAAATAATTGTAATGACATTATTGATTTAAGTTAGGAATGAGGGAGTAGATATGGACTACGTCATTCTGAATTCTGAACTAGCAGTCATGTATAAATAAATATAATTTACTTTATAGAAAAATTATGTTAAAATAATTCTGACATTTTATTATAATTTCTTAATCTGTTACTGTTTCACTGACATAAAAATATAGTGCATAAATATACATAGCAAAATAAATTATTGTTAATATTTATACTGTTGTTAATTGTAATGTAATTACAATCCATAGTGAATTTTTTCTTAAAAATTAAATTAATTTTCTAATAAAATTGACTAATATATATTTTTTTTTATACACAATCTGTATTAAAATCATTTTATACCTTGTATAATATAATTGTATACTACTGTATATAGTATAATACAAACTCACATCTCTATTCCTATGCATCGTCCAGTATTTTTTTTAGATGAGTCTCTTATTTAATTTGTTTAAATTGAATTAGTAAATTAATACAAACAAAATAATATTTCATGCAAATGGTGATAGTTAATTAAATTTGTTTTGTAACTTATGAATACTTTACAAATGTATATTAATTTTGCCATTCACACAAGTGTTATGCAGGAGATTTTTTTTGAAAATCAAAGATTATAAAAATAAAACTAACCTGTCAACCATCAAACAAACACTAAGTTTCATAAAAGAAATATAAATTGAACATTAATTGTAAATAACTAATGAATAATAATATGTAAAAACAAAGATTATTGTAATAACTAATATTATGTAAACAATTATTATCAAATTATTAAAAAAAATAAAATAAGATTAGGTACGATTAATCATAATAACATATGTGCCCGGTTATGATGTAGCTGTGGAAAAAATATTTGAAATTACTAAATAAAAATGTAGGTATTGACAGTGATGTATTGGTAATTTTTTTCTAGGGTATACGCTTAGCACATAAGCTCAAAAAAATTTTTTTTTAAACAAACATAAAATTAACTTATGGTGGGTCGTGCGGTATACCACCGCGCCTTTATATGTCGATTTATTTATCTAGCCCCCACAGAAAAAGGATATTAGACATATTGCATCAGGATGAGATGGAGTTACAGTGCTTAGAAAGTTCCTTTAAAAAAGGAACTAAATCCTTTACCATTCCTGCCTTGAAGATAGGAATTAGTTCCTTTCCTCGTTCCTTTTTAATGTGACTTAAAATAAAATAAAAATACATAGGTACATCGTACATGTTTATATTATAATAGTTTTAATTTTAAAATTTTAAACATTACACATTGTTATTTAGACATTTAGTAATAGTTTTAACTTATATAATTAATAAGCTGTATAAATAAACCTCTGCTACAGAAATACAGAATTTATATTTTGTAAACATTATCAATAATATCGTATACAGGTTTATTTTTATAGCTCTTCATATTAGTTACTAAATTTTAATAGAAGCTAAACATTTTTTTCCTTTTAGTTTTAAAAATGATTTAATTACTTTTATTTAAAAATAAATGAACGAAGAAAGGAACGAAAAAAATCGTTCATGTTCCTCTAAGAAGTGAACGAAATTTCAGTACGTTCCTAAACAAGAAAAAGGAACTACGTTCCCGATAAGTTCTAATTCACACAGATGTATTATTTATATAATAATACGAACTACCATTACATTATACATAAACATATTTACATTGTTATAGGTATTTTAAATGTCAATCAAACATTCTTATTAAATATTAAATTATATTATTAGATATCATCATAAAGTAGGTAAATAACATATATACAAAGTAGTAAGTATTATAACACAATTTCGCATCAATGTAATATGTACACTAAAATAATATACATATAATTATAATCATGATTTTGAAATTATAGTATTAATTAATATAAAAAAAATATAACACGCTAGGGACGATTCGGCCTCTAAAAAAATTTCATCATGTCTGTTTCATCAAATTCTGTTTAAGTGCATTAATAGTAGGTTTTTCATAATCAATCATTACAGTTTTTGGATATAAATTTGGTTTTAAATGATTATAAAGCATCAAATATTCAATAGGTACCATAACTATAAGTAATCTATTATAAGTGCTTAATATTTAAGTAAAATATTAATTATAAAAATTGTAACATATCAATCAACATACAATACAGTAGCATCTTATATAAATTACTTCTCGTGCTGTTTTTAAGTTAAAAATTATATTTTAATATAATATAAATAATTGAACAGAAATTGAACGGATCATAAAATAATAAGTAATCTAATAACATGTATAAATAATCAAATTTACCTACATTTCTATAGTTGTACATTCACAATTTCACATTTATTTGCTCTTGTGTTCGATATTTTTTTCAGAAATCATTTCTATAATATTTTGGGGTTTTTTTCAGGTATACATTCATAACTTGGTAATGTCAATTAAGGCGGAGTAAAAAATTATTTATACATATTTACATATTATGGACATAATTACCACAAATATTATTAATAAACTATGCAAATCAAATTCTTCTAGTGTTCTTCTGTATTTATATTGTTTGAATTACTATTTTCTTGTAAAGGTTTAGCAGGTTACCTTAATTTAATTTAAAATCACTTACGGCAGCAGTCTTAGATTTGTACATCACAAAAGCCACAGAATTTTCCAGAACCACAACAAATGATAGTTCACCGTACTATAATATTGTATAATGTATTAGACATATGTTTCAAATATAATGTTTATAAATTACCTTAGAAAACAATGATGTTAAGTTAGCTTTATTATATAGGTACACCGTTTTTCTTCCACTTTAATTTTAATATAAATGAACCGTTTTTTTTCTTTTTCAGTTTCTCGCTGCCTGAGGTCACTTTCTTTTCTTAAAAGCATCATTTCTTTCTACACAAAACAATTAATTTAAAAACAAAAATTAAAAAAAAAAAAAAAATTAGGTACCTACTTTGAAATCGCTTTTATCTGTATCTCGTTGTACTGATCTTTCATGTTTAGTTCTTTTTAAAATATCATTTATTAATTTCGCTTTACCCGAATCGCGTCCTTTTTGAGCAATTTTGCAGCAGATTTACCGACTTGTCATAATCCAACTAAAAACAAGAAAAAAACATTTACAAATAAATACAATTAACAATGCTAAATCATTGAGTTTAAAATCAACAAATCTTACTCGAGCTGCTGTGTCTGTAAGAATAATTAATATTTTGGATAACCGCAAGAACAGTTGAGCTGCATTGCGAATATCGGGATTTTTATCTGGATACCATCGTAGTGCTTTCTTCCGATATGCCGTTTTCATCTGATTGAAATAGCAAATATGAATAGTAATACGTCGCGAGTGATTAGAAATTGACTTACCACTTTTTTAGTAGCCGACTGTTTGATTCCAAGCATCCCGTAAAGATCTAAATCTCTCAAATCAGAATCCATAATATGAAATATAATATGAATTCTGTAACAACAAGTAAATACTATAAGAATATATTTTATGTCAAGAGTCGTGTGAGCGTGTTACGCACGAACCTACCAATTACGTCTAACAATAATTAATATCATAATAATCACAATATTAATAATTATGAAAATGTCGAATTTTGCTTGCCTATATTGATATCAGTCGATGCATTCTCAGTTCCACAACTAGGGATGGCAAAATATCGTTGACCATCGATATATCGAAATTTCGATATATTGCATACCCAATATCGATACCACGATATATCGACCACTATTTTATCGATACATCGATATATATCGGAACATTTTTTTCTAATACTAAAAAAGGTAAAAGGATTATAGACTTGCGCATAGATGATAGATTATAATTTATTTCAATAAAACTTTATACAGTTATACCTTATACCGTAGTCCGAGGCCTATATATTTAACAGAATTATAAAATAGTTTATATTTATAAAAATATAACATATAATAAAAATAATAAAAATAGTCGTATATTCGTACAGTGTTCAACGGTCTACGGACTGCGAAGAAATGGTTATTCAGAATAACGATTAATATGAGTATGGCAATATTCATTAATCATAATATCTTTATGGGCTAATGGCTTCATGGGCTCATGGCTTTATCGCCTAATCAGCATTCTAATAATAGTTTAATAGTAGGATTCCATGGAACCGTACGGCCGTACAAATACAATATACCTATATGAGTATATCACTTTATCTACTTTCAATGGAATCAAGTAGGAATAGTAGGATGTACATATAAACAGTAAACATACTGCTATAATAGCTATAAATATATAAAAACCCAAATAATTCATAATTGTATTTGTTACTGTTATTAAAGTATATAATAATATATTCTATTGGTTTCCCAACGATTAATCGTATTAAAATATCACAAGACTCGATAATATCGAGGCGATATATCGGTGTGGTTGTATCGATGTAAAATTTCTCGATATATCGACTTCATGTATCGATATTTTCGATATATCGATATATCGTTGCCATCCCTATCCACAACAAATGTCCCTCGATACTAACGCGCCATGTGGCGATTTTTCGTTATGGTTTCCGAAACTAGCATCCAATTACGGCGGGAAATTTAAAATTGAACGAGTTGTATCACCGGTATCGGATAATACGCGGTAAACCAACTTTATACCTTAGGTATACGCTCTAGGCCAGGGCCAGTGCATGTAAGCACTGTAAGTAATGCTTACACTTTAAATTAAAGAAAAAAGAAATTTGATCAATCACGACTAATAGGTACATAACAAATGATTTTTAAAATTTTAATTTTATTTATAAAATATTTAAGTTATATCTGGTAGTGGTTTTTGTTACTGTTTATTTGTGTCGTACGCTGTCTATACTGATTACCAACTATTTTAAGAAAATCATCGATTGTAGGTCTATTTTTAATCCATTCTGTATTATGTTAACTGTATAATCATAATACGATATACAGTGTAAGTGTAACACATTCTGAAATTGCTTACTGTTGTTTTCGAAAAGTCTATAATGCCATAGTGGGGGTCGCGTATTTAACTATCGTTTGTAAGCACATTTGATTTTGCTTACGCGAGAAACAAGGAGCGACCAGTACGTAGCCCGACGCGTTGTAGACTGTAGTCGTTTTTACGTACACTGTCACTGTCATTCGCCTATAATAGACTTTTGAAGTATTTATACTTCAATTTTTTTATTTTCTCGAATTTGATTTGTACAACTAGTATATTTTTAAAAATATTAAAAATTTTAAAAGGATAACATTTTTTTATACATAATATTTTATAATTAGGTATTTAGGTATAGTACCTATATTCTAATCACTTTTGAAAAAAAAATTTCACTGCTTACATCTTTTTAATACCCACGCCACTCCACTGGCCACTACAGCTCTAGGCTAATGACTGTCTCTAGAATAAATTCAGATTAGCACTGTTAACCTTTGAGGCGTACGATGGTATGCGTTTTGTCAGTTCTTCGTCCGTTTCCTAAATCGGAATTACTATTATACGACGCCACAACCGGAGCACTGTTCAGTTTGTAATAAACCTCGCATTGACTTTATAGGTGTGTGGGCCTGAGCACTGTTCCGATATTAAAGGTAAGAACGAAGAAGACTTTGAAATAATACTCAACTAGGGTTTTTAGGTCGGAAACACTTTATATAATAAACATAAATAAAACACTTAAGCGAATTCGGATTGCGTAGCCCGTACTATACGATCGACGTTTCACACGTACAGTGTCGGACTGGCTCAAAAAGCGAAGTCCGCGATTTGGAAAAAAGGGCCCCTCAACAAGCAAATGGCAAATGTTTTAATTAGCCCAAAAAAACTCGCTTCGCTAGCAATACAATTTTCATGTACCTACATAGTCACATAGAACATTTTTTTCAATACAATTGCCATCTTCCATATTTATCATACAGCCATATTATAGCCACAAATAACTAAATACGTACCTACCTAACTGAAATTCAATCATTTGATATATTAACTGGTTTTACTATATTTTCAATATAGAAATTATATTGAGTATATTCTTAAGTGCTAAGACATTTTCTGCAAGTCCTAAGTAAATTTACCGTTATTGTCATTGACAAGAGACCCATCAGACTGTTTTTATTATCAGACAGGGGAAATCCCTCCTATCCAACCTCCAAATTATGCCACTTGGGCGTAGCCCCTATACTGGCTACACCACCTTCTGTGACATCAAACATTATAAAGAAAAACACCGGTTCAAATTGTGCAAGAGTACAATAATTATAATAATTCAGTTAAAATCAGTTATAAATTTACAAGTACAAAAAAATTTTTAGTTGAGTCGAGTCTCGACTCGAAAATTTTTCCTAGTATGTAATGTAACAATATAGTACCTATGTAAAAACAATGTTATTGTATATTAAAATAAAGTTTACCATTTTTATCTGCAGAATGATTATGTTCGTGGATTTCTCTTGGATTTTTTATTGTGTGGGATGTTTTTAAAATAGCTGGACATTTGAATGAACTAAATTTTGAAAATCTCTATCTAATAAAATACTTGCAATCTTTTTGACGTACGTACATAAAATCTTTGAAACAAACTTTATCATTTCCATGAGTGGTTTTAATTATTTCAATAACACTATTCATTTCAAAATTCTTCAACACTCTTTACAACACTATGTGGGAACTAGAGAAGTATACTGACCGTCTAAGGTGTATTGTATCGTAATAATAATATAATAATAATATCGTTAGCAATATTGGCGGCCCGCGAAGTGGTAATAAATAGACCACCAATAATATTTTTCTAGACTATAAGTTCAAGAAATGTCGTCAAATTATTTGTTAATCATACTATAATGATTTCAATACGTCGCGATAATGTCTTTATCTGTCTAAAATGCGATTACGTCTGTTATGCGTCCTGGACCGAAACTAATTTGTCAGTCGGTACCTATTATATCGTAATCGCAATCGCATTTATTAAGAGGACGTTACACCGACATATTTTGTTGTCTCCATTTAAGATGTACAGTTAAATATAAGTAAACTTAGCAAACACAACGAAGCAAACTTAGGGGATTTTTTTTCCGGGAATTTTTTTTTTTGATTCCGTATTTGTAAATAACTATTAAAAACCAGCATAACAGAGTTGGTCGACGTTTAAATTTTGATAAATCCAGGTATAAATTATTTAATTGAACCAACTACCTATATAGGTACCAACCTAATAATATAGAGTGTTAAAAATCTACTGTTATGTTATTTAATAATAGAAAATTTGAGAAAAAACAAAAATGTATTGCTGGGCCAGATGAAGATTATGGAGCTGTAGACATTGGAATAGGTATAAGTATATAATTGATATGTCACCCGAAGAATATGACGCCAAAAAAATTGATTTATCCGTTGATGAAATAATAAAAATAGAAAGAAATACCGTTGGACAACAAGAGAATGACGATTGGAAAAAATTTAGAAAACAACGACTTACGGCATCTAATTTTGGAAAAGTTTGTAAATTAAGACCCACTACTTCGCTAGCGAATACCATAAAATATATTTTATATGATATTTTCCAAGGAAGTTCTTCAGCTAGGTTTGTGGTCTATTTATATTTTATTTATTTTACAATAGTAATTGTTTAGGTATATAATTATTTTTATAAAATATTTTACTTAGGTATGGTATATTGAAAACGAATCAATAGCCCGAAATGCATTCCAAAAAACCATAAAGGAGAAAATCGAACCAGCGGGATTGTTTATTCATGAGAATAAACCCTATCTCGCAGCAAGTCCTGGCGGGTTAATAGGTAAAGACTGTATCTTGGAGATAAAGTGTCCTCCGAGCATAAAAAAATATACTCCAGAAGAGGCAGTACATAAAAAAAAAATTACGTACATGATATCCGATGGTGAAAAAATTACTTTAAAAAAAACTGATAATTATTATTATCAAGTTCAAGCACAACTCAACATTAAAGAAAGGAACTACTGTTATTTTGTTGTGTGGACTCCAAAAGGTAATAGTATATGACAATTGTTTTCGTAGAATCTAAAATATTATAATTTATATGTTCGATTTTAAACGTGTTTATTTTGGGTTTTATAATAGACAAGATATCCAAAGATGTCAAATTTTGGACATCAAAAATTGAACCATTTGCAGTCACAACATTTTACATGGAATCGTTACTGCCTGAAATCATTGACCCAAGATTTGATAGAGGACTACCAATAAGGTCCGGTATACCGACAAAGAAGCTCTAACTAAATAAAGGTGTATTTATGTAGCAATATAATGTAATATTGTAATACAAACAATTGTTTTTTTTAAAGACTTACTGTTGTCAATATATTATAATTTATAACGATTATGTTTTTGAATAAAATTATGAACTAGGTACATTATACTTTATGTA